GGCTCCCAGAAGGTCGTGGCCCACCTGACGGTGCAGCCCAGAGGTAGGGCCAGGATGGGGGAATAGGCTCTTGGTTCTCTGTAGCTGACGCTAACAACTATCAACTGAGTTTACTCCCCTCATTTCAGTGACATTGTGCTTGTGGCCCCAACGGGGCAGCAGTAAGCTCACTAAATCTATCCTCTTGGCTGGTGAAAACATTTATTTTTTAAACTTTTTTTTTTTTTTTTTTTTCAGATAATGACTTACTGAATTGTTTAAGTAAAATCCATCAGTATTTTCCCTTTAATAGACTTCAGGAAAGAGCTGTTTCTTAACCTCCCTTTTGCGGGTTCTAGGAGCATGAGGTCTAACAAGTTGACAGCTCGTGTAGAGACTGGGCCATCGTCTCATGCCCAGGCCAGCTCCTCTCCCCTGGCCCTGTCATCACTGGCCCTGACCCTTTTGGAGTCCCTTTTACTCCCCTGTGGAGTCTCCTTGCCTGCTTTCTCACTTAGAAGATCCCAGCTGCCCGTAATGCTCTTGGCGTAGTTAGGAGAGAAAGATCAGGACCCCTGGCAGGTGCAGGGACGATAACTCGGAAGTGGCCCAGGAGCAGAGGCTGTCCAGGATGCCCACACGCACAGTGTGGTGTGGGGAGAGGGGACCTGAGTGCTCCTGCCCGGTCGCCTTTGGGGAGTGCCTGGGGCCTCTGGGCACAGTGCAGACTGGCCTTGGCCTGGCCTGGTTCTGCAGGTTTGTCCTGCCTGTGCCTGACATGGCCTGACTCTGGTCACTAGCTGGGTGAGGGAATGTGGGAGTTGGACTCCTAAAAGGCCACCCAGCCCACGCACTGGCAATCGGCTGCGTCCTCACTTTCAGATGTAGGGACAATTCCTTCCTCCAAAACTCAGCTCTCTTGAGAGGCCATGGGTTCCTTAGTGAGCCATGGCAACCACCTTACTGGAAGGTGTGGTAGGTGGAAGCCGGCAGCCAGGCCAACTCGAGGGCCAGGGACGTCCATGAGTTGGTCAGTTTGCTGCTCATGCCCCAGGCAAGTTTTCTCTTGGTCCCTCAAGCTCCCAACCTGCACTGGTCTCTGCTCAGAGACAGAAACAGGGGCACTCTGGGCCCTGGGCTGGCCTGGTGTGGGCAGGGTGCTTTGCCAGGGCCCTTTGTATAAATCACTTGTCTTGATCCCCTGCGCTTACCACCTAGTGACTCCGGTGTTTGCCAGTGTCCCCAGCGACATGACAGTGGAGGTGGGCACCAACGTGCAGCTGCCTTGTAGCTCCCAGGGCGAGCCCGAGCCGGCCATCACCTGGAACAAGGTAGGAGCCCTAGCCTGGCCCTGTGTGGCGTGCAGCAGCACAGCTGACACCCACGTGTGCTTTGCAGCCTTCCAGAGCCGAGGAGCATGGACACTGCTGGTCTTGCATGAAGGATGATGTACAGGTGTCCTTGCTAATGAAAGCAGAGTGTGGAATCCCAGCTCTTTGGCAGCCTGAGGCAGGAAGATTGCTTGAGGCCAGGCGTTCCAGGCCAGCCTGGGCAGCATAGACCCCTATCTCTAAAAAGAAAGAATAGAAAATACAAGCTAAACCTGGTATTTCTCACCTGGAGTCCCAGCTACTTGGGAGGCTGAGGCAGGAGGATGGCCCGAGCCCAGGAGTTTGGGGCTGCAGTGGGCTGTGATGATGCCACTGCTCTCCAGCCTGGGTGACAGAGCAAGACCACATTTCTTTAAAAAAACAAAAAAAACCCTTGGAACATGCGGGGTTTTTCTGGGGCTTTTTTTGTTGTTTTTTGTTTGTTGGGTTCTTTTGGTTTTTTTCAGTGACAAAGGCAAAGAAAAACTTTTAGGTCTCATGATAAAAAGGGACTGTGCTGTTACTTCATTTTTCTTTGCTATTTTATGAAAACACACCGTGTACAGTGTTTTCCTGTGAGCTGCTACCTGGGCCCATCCGGCCACTCCGAGAGCTCGGAGGTGTGAAGGCCCTGTCCTCGATGGCCACCTGCTTTGTGCTTGCCCAGCACCTCTGTCTTCCTCCCGCCTCGTGTGGGATGTGCCTGTCTCTGGCGTCTGGTGTCTGCTTGGAGGTGCCTTCAGTCGGGGGTGCCCTCAAGGTCTGCCTCCCTCTCAGGGCCTCCCACAGCATCCCAGGGTGTTGCTGTCCCCCACCCTCCGATTTCAGAAGTCACCCTCTGCTTGGTTCTCTGTCCTTGGTGCAGAGAGAGCTTAGCACCGAGCTGGCACTGGGAGCTGAGCGCTGTCCTTCCCTCCCCAGTCCCAGGGTTCTGAGCACGGTCTGTCACTGTGGGGAATGCCCCACCCCACTGCACGTCCCCATGCAGGGGAGCAGCTCTGTGTCATGCTTCTGCTGGTCTTTCCTCTGCTCTGCCCTAGGATGGGGTTCAGGTAACAGAAAGTGGAAAGTTTCACATCAGCCCTGAGGGATTCCTGACGATCAACGACGTTGGCACAGCGGACGCCGGGCGCTATGAGTGCGTGGCCCGGAACACTATCGGGTCTGCCTCAGTGAGCGTGGTGCTCAGCGTGAATGGTAAGGCTATGTGTGTGCAGCCAGAGGTCGTCCTGCCCACGGGTCAGGGCTGGGCCTCTATCTGGTGACAAATCTGTTGGCACTCACCAGGCTTCACTGCCATGGTGCACCAGGGCACCAGCCACTCAGTGCCCACAGCAATGCTTTCCCTGGAGTCCTCCGGGCCATTCAGTATTTATGCTTGCTTTGGAGGACTTGGCCCCTCTGCTGTGGCTCCTCACTGCTGAGTTTGGCCAGGCAGGCTGGGGGTGCCCTGCAGTAGGGCCCCCTGGATACTCACGGGCAGGGCAGGCCCTTTCCCTAGATCTGCCAGCATCTTAGAATCGCCCTGATTCCTGCGCTGCCCTCTGGAGTCCTGGTCCTCTTGCTGGCCATCCACTTATCCAAGGCCCCAGGACATTCTGGCCCATCTTTATTAAAACCCAACCCACAGTATGTTGCCAGCACTTCTCTGTCTCCTGTGGCTGCAAGGGCACAGTCTGTGCTCTGGAGTTTTGCAAGATTCTTCATGGTTGGACTCAAACTACAGCTCCTCAGGCTCTGTCTCCCTAGGTTTAGCTGTGCCCCTGGGTAGCACACTGCACACGGTCCTTTGCTATGCAGAAGGCCCAACATGCCCGTAGCCTGTCCCTGCTGTCCTCCCAGCAGGCTGGCCCAACCTCTGGGATGCACAGCCTCGGGTGATTCTGGCTGCCCCATGGTGCTGGCAGGGGCCCTGTTAATGTGTCCCTGGACCCCACAAGGCTGGGCCCTGGCATGCCAAGTGGTCATAACTGTGAACCATAATGTACTCAGAAGCCTTTTTATTTTTACTTTAAGAGAACTGTTCAATGCCTTTATATTACACACTATTTATATATAGTGTGTAAAGTGAGTGTAACATTAAGTTGATGAAATTTATGACTGGTTATTACCAATTTTTGTGCTTGAAATACAATGTGGTATTTTAATGTGAATTAGTTACATCTGAAATGTTAAAACAATCTCTGTATAATTACATACCCAAGAAATAAGTTAACATTTTGAGTTTCCTTCCTTTTTAAAAGATGTGGAATTTTTTCTTTCATCATTGCTTAGAGAAAAACTAGTTCAGTTTTAATGCCCGACAATAATGAAAGTTATGTAAAATTGCCTTGTTTACCAACTGGCATAAAAATACTAAATTCCCCAAATTAGTAAATTCAGCCTGCTCTTGAGATACACATAAAATGTAGGGTTTCTGCCTAGACACATTTTTTTCAGGTTCTGAATTGTACATGTGTGAATATTTCAAACATACAGGAGAGCTGATCCGCTCATCCACATGTGCCATGTGTCAAGGGCCGTGTAAGCGGGGCTGGTGTCCGTCATGTGAGCACACGCAGTGTGAGCTTGCTGCACACTGATGGGCGTGATGCAGGGCACCCGCGGTGCTCACACCCACGTAATACCTAGCTTGGCTTTGTCTGCTCACTCAGCAGCTGCCTGCCTATGTCCAGCGCTATCCTGGGTGTGGGCACCCTGCTCTCTGCAGACACACCAGGTACTTACCTGCCTGTGCTTGGATTCTGGTGGGAGATATGAGTAGGAATGGGGAGAAGAACCGTTACGGACTGATCACTGTCTGAGTGTCACAGGGTGGGGGCTTCTCACAGAGGGGCCAGGGAGACAGGCTGGCATAGCACTGGGCAGGGAGCCATGAGGAGGGGGTGTAGGGGCAGCCTGGAGGGCAGACGTGTGGTCCTCGGGGAAGGTGGACCCCACTGTCAACCACACTGCAGAGTCAGGATTGGGATCCAGGGGAGCGTTCTGGGAGGGCAGGGCGGTGAGCCAGCCAGCTGTTTTGGAAGTCAACCTTGGCCGTGGGCAAAGAAGCATTGGCAGGGTGAGGAGTGGAGGGGAGGATGGCAGGAAGGGCCAGGCTGGGGCTGGAGGCCTAGAGCAAACCCAAGCAACCTGGCCAACATCAGTTCAGAGTGGGTGACCTCTGGAAGGTCTGGGAGACAGGTCAGGGGACGAGAGCCTTGAGTTCTGTGTGGCATGGGGATGGGGCTGCAAACCCTGGAGGGGGCGGCTGGAGCCAAAGGGAGGGGCAAGGGCTGATTGCACATATCCAATCTATTAAAACCGGGGGTCAGGTGGACTGACTGCTGGTCACCGTGGTCTGCGTGCTCCAATAGCCAGAGGTCTGGCAGGGAGGGGGGAGTCAGAAAAAGACACCCCCAAAATGGGCCCTCAGAGAGCAGGGATTGTGAGGAAGCCCTTTGGTGCACCTGCCTGTCAAAAGGAGGCAGAGCAGAAGCCAGAGACAGAAAGACCAGGGACGGAGAGGCTGTTCCCTGAGGAGAAGCGGACAGGAGGAAGGGCGTCCAGCTTGGGGAGGGCAGCATTGCAGGTCCTTCTCAGCTGCCGGTGTCTAGAAAGGGTCACCATCGAGTCTGTTCTGATCAATATCAAAGGTGGCAGGGATGAGGTTATTTTATTTGGCCAATTCTACATGCTGGGTACACAGGAAGTGGAAAAGTACAAGCGGGGCCTGGAAAGGGAGCCCCAGCTTCAGGAGATGACAAGTTTGTGTGGTGCCTGTCCGTGTGTGTGTGAGCCGGAGCCCCGTGTACTGAAGTGTCCGTGGTATGTGTGGGGTCTCAGGGACAGCACAACTTTGAGGAAGGGTGGGATTTGGTTTGGGACCCTGCCCTCTGGGGAGGGTGTGACCCACAGGATCTGCCAGGATTCATCGTGTCCGTGGACGTCTCTGTCCTCTGGGCCCACACAGGACGGCAGGCTGCGGCCACCCTGCTGTCCTGCCTGCTGTCACCTTGGTGTGAGAACTCCTGTTTGATGTTATTTACCAGGTACTGCGTGATTTCAAAAGCCTAAAAGTCTATTCTTTCTCTATTATTTGAAATCAACTTCTAGAACTTACAATTTAAACCTGAGTGTGAGAAATAGAAATGACATTCGTAGAAAGGTTTGCCCCAAGTCTAATGATGTAGTGTCTAGACATCACTGTATGAGTAATTTGTATTTTTTCTGCTAATGTGTGACTTCCTGCTTTCCTAGTTCCTGATGTCAGTCGGAATGGGGACCCCTTTGTAGCCACATCCATCGTGGAGGCCATCGCGACAGTTGACAGAGCGATCAACTCCACTCGGACACACTTGTTTGACAGGTAGGTACCTGGTGCCCTGAACGTACCTCTGCACTTTGGTGGGGCCCCTGAGGAACTTGCAGTTGTAGTCCCTGACTCTGACCTGCTCCATCTGAGGACAGACTTAAAAATTGTAAACAACGTTCCATCTCACTTTTCTGGGGGCTAAGATAACAGAGGGACACACACTTTTCTAATAGAATTGGAATCATAACTCACAACCAAAACACCAAAAAAATTTCAGCTCATTCTTTTGGCATGTTACCCGAGTGATTTAGCAAAAACAAAATGTGTCTCATAGGTCACTATGGTATCTGTTCATGTTGCCAAATCCGAAGTGGTTTTTCTGCATCTTAACTGAAATGCAGTATCTGATTTTCTGACTTAATTAACGGTTTATTTTTAGTGACTTCTGGTTTTTGTTTTTGTCTTGTTGCCTCCCACCTCGGATCAGTAAGGTACAGTACTGCGTGTAGAAAGTAGTGTAGAAACTCCAATAGCAGTAATCGTGTTTTTGGATACTGGTGGTCCTCCAGTGATTTTCGTTCTCTTCTCTCCCCAAACCCTGTTAGCCGTCCCCGTTCTCCAAATGACTTGCTGGCCTTGTTCCGCTACCCGAGGGACCC